AGTGCTTGTTCATTACTTACAAAAATAAAGAACGAACCGAATATAACAGTATTTAATTAACATTTAAAACCACGGTAATAATAATAATAATAATAATACGTGAACATTCGGAAAAAAACTATACCCGATACAAAACGAATAATAATTATTATTATCATTATCGATATTTTAATTATTTTATGGATTTGAATTAGTTTTGGAATTAATACCGCACGTGAATTTAATAATAATAATAATAATGACGATTTTATTATTATTACGAAAAGGGGAGGGGGGAGGAGGGAAAGAAAAGGAAAATGCTTCCCTTTTCTTCTGCCCCGTTTTTTTTTTTTTTAATGATAATTTAAAATGGGCGTCGACGTATAAAATTAACGTTTCCGTAACGAAAAAAACTGTTTTTTTATTTTTATTTTATTTTGTCGTCTGCTGGAAAATTCGGGAAAAGGTAAATTACTTAAATAAATAGGTATGATTTTTCCTGGAGAAAATTTACTGGAAAAAATTTACAAAAACGAGTTTTCTTATTTTGAAAAATTTTATTAAATTACCAATGATATTTTTACTTTTTTCCTCAACCGAAAATCCAAAAAGAAAAGTTTAAAAAAAACCGGAAATAATAAATAAATAAAAATTTTTTTTTATCATCATTTTAAATTAATTTTAAAGGAGAAGAAAAATTTCATAATGGCGATAATTACTTAATTACATCCCGCGCAATTTTTTTTATATAAAAAAAAATTTTCGCCATAATTTTAAAAAAAAAAAAAAAACAAAAAGTTTCAAAACATTTTTTTGAAACTTTTTAAAAAACTTTTATTTACGGATATCGTAATAAGCATCATCATCGTTTAAGTAGCATAAAAATATTATTTTTTTATTATTAATAAAAAATTAAACTTTTTCTCCCCCCCCCCCTAGCGTCTCTCTCTCTCTCGCGATAAATTTTATTTCCTTCTTTTTAACGGACCATTAATCAATTGATACCGTTTTGTGTGTGTATAGCAGACGATAAATAAATATAATTAAATATTTTCGTGACGTTTTTCCAACTCAACCCTCGAGAGTATTTATATTAATTTTTTTTTTTTTTTTCATTAAATCGATGTCTTGACTTAAATTTTTTTTAAGTAAAATAAAATAACCCCCTACCTTCTACTCAGTCCCCCCACCTCCAGCCCACCCCCCGATATAATTCGATTAAATAAATGCAAAAAAAAAAAAAATTTAAACTTAAAATGATTGTGAATCTTACCGGCAAGTAATATCCTTCCGATTAATTCGTTTCTTCCAATGTTATCAAAATCCATGACCATAACATCTAAAGAACATTCTCGAATTTTTTCCCATGGTACGTTAAAAGTAAACGATTCGTTAAATATTGGATTTAATGTGCATTTAAAACGGGAGTTTTTTCTTTTCTATTCTCTATCACCGAATTGTAGCCATACTTTTACGTAAGGATCTGAAAAAAAAAGAATAAATAATTATTTAACTCCAAAACGTTTTTTTTTTTTTACTCTATGACAATATGTAAACAAACGACGAAACTAATATTAGCATAGAGTAAAAAAAACACACATACATTCATTTTTTTTTGTTTGAAACTAAGGAAAAAAGCGTTTAAACACTTTATGACATTAGAATACAAAAAGATGAATTGGGAGTGAGGGGAAGGGAGGAGAGGAGAAAAGGGGGAGGGGGAAACGATCACGTTTGTTTACGAAAGAAAATAATTTAAAAAATATTATTATTATTATTAAATCCGATAAAAAAACTTAATGTTAAAACATTTTTTCTTTTCTAAAGCTGAGTATATACTATATATATAAATAAATCTTGAATTAAAGTCAACAATGTAAATAATGACGTGGAAGCAGAAGAGAATTTTTTTTTTTTTTAATGTTTACTTACCTGATTTACCATTGATATCTTTTGCTTTCAGGTTTCTCGCTTTAAGTAATGTCAGAGTCAATACGGAATTGCTCGGATGATAACATAGTGACGTTAATAATTCTCCACATTTGTTTTTAGCCGGAGGTTTTAAAGCTTTCCAAAAAGATGGCTTTTCCGTTAAATCAACCTGTTAAATGATATACGTCACGATACATTTTCTTTTGTCGTTATAATGACGTCATAAGAAAACACCTGATAAACTTACCTGACAAAGTGGTAAAAATACTTCTCCTATGGAATCATCTCTGGAAAATCTATCCCAGTCAAAAACGTGAAGATGTAAAACTCTACCTTGTAATTTTTGTATTGGAAAACCTAAAAAAGGTAAAAAAAAAAAAAAATTAAAATTTTTTTTTATTATTTCCCAACTTTTACGGAATCCCCGCCCCTCCCCCTCCTGGGTTGTTTAAAATTTATTTCTTTTATTACATTTACAGTAAGAAGAAGAAGAAAAAATTTAATAATGGTAAAGACTCCATAATTTATTATGTATAAAGATGGTAAAAAAAAAGGGTAAAATTAAATTAACCAAAGGTATATATATATATATATATATATATATATATAATTAAAATTACGGTTTTAAGTTTTTTTTTTTTTTTAAAGTTGGTAAGAAAAATGTTTTTTCTGGGGAGTGAGGGGCGGGGCGGTTAAACATAAAAAAAAATTGTCACGATGTCGCATTTACATTATGTGAAAAATTTTATTGATTTTTTCTTTTTTCCCTTAAAATAAATAAAAGTGAAAAATCATAAACAAAAAAAATTTCGTTTGCATAAAATTTTGTTTTTGTAACGAATAAACCCCCCCAAAATACCCCCCCCCCAAAAAAAAAATGTATGAAAAATTTTTCTTTTCTTTATCAAATTTGTATTATTCAAATTTTTTTTTTTTTTTTGAAACGCCTACAACCTTAAAAAAAAAAAAGGAAAAAGGAAAAGTTTTTTTCAACTTAGACATAATCGAAATATCCGGTTTAATTTACCCCAAGGGATGATGATGATAATGATAATGAACTTTCATGACCTGATTGGAATTTAAAATTTTTCATCTTAAAAACTTTTTTTTTTTTTTTTTTTATTTCTTTCGGATAAAATCCGCGACATTTTTTTTTTTCCTTAACTTTAGAAAAAAATATTTTCAAACTTTAAAATTTTCAAATGTTGATAATGAAAGAAACGGGAAAAAAAAGAAAAAACGGAACCGGATATGAAATTTTGAAAAGTTAAATGTTTATTATTATTACGACAACTCAACCGGAAATGAAATTTTGTTTTTTAGGTGTGTTTGTTCGTTAAAATATTTAAATAAAAAAAAAAATTTGTTTGTTTGTTTTTGACTAAAACGTAACGTGTTTTAATTTTGGTTTTTTTTTTTAACTAGATTTTATAATTAAAGAATGTTTAAACCGTTTTTATTACGCTCTGTATACCAGCAGAAGACGCGAGCGACGTAATCACGTGACTTATTAAATTAAAAATTTTTCTTACTTACTGCATATTTATATAAAGAAAGAAGGAGAGTAAAATTTTAAATTTTCGAATTCATTTTTTTTTTTTTTTTCAATTGGAATTTAAATTTATTTTGACGTTGATGAATACAAAAAAAATTTAAATTTCTTTTCCGTCCGCCATTAATTAAACCGATGACAAAAAAAAAAATTTACATTAATTAATTATAAAATGTTTAAATCACGTTTTTTTTTTTTTTATACGTCACAGTTAGACAATATTTGTAATTTTAAAAAAAATGGGGATCCGTTTTGAAGTGGGGGGAGAAGAATTTGAGGATTTTATGGAGGGGGGAGGGGGACGAACGAACTCACGCAAGTTTTATAACAATAATGACCATTTTTTCTCCATTTTTCTTTTTTTTTTTCCAATCCAAGGAATCGATAAAAAGGTGGTAAAAAAAAAAAAATTAATTACCTTCAAAGTAAAAAGTTTCGTTCCAGCGAGGATTAAGAGTCCTTCTTTTAACTTTTGTTTCCAGTCTGTGCTTTTTATCGGGTAATAAAGTGACTCTTACGTATGGATCCGATGTACCTGAAATGTCTTTGGCGGGCAATTCTTTGGCCTAGAAACAAGAAAGAAAAAAAAAATTTTAATTTCTCATCGTAAAAAGAGAGGAGAAAAGAGAAAATGAGGAGGAGAAAGAGGAGAAGAAGGTGGAAGAGAAGAAGGAGGAGGAAAAGGAGAAGAGTTAGGGGGTCAGGTCGGATCGGGTCAAAGGTAACAATGTCGTTTTAATTACATTAACATTAATATTTTATTTACTAAAAAAAAATTTTTTTAATCATTTTTATTTAATTAACTTTTAAAAATTTAAACGTTACCTTTCCGCCTCCCCAATTTTATCATTAAAAATTTTAAATTATTTATTTATTTTCAATATGGCCGACAAATGATTATTTAATATAAATAATAATAATAACAATAAATTTTAACTACTTAAAAATAGTTAATTTACACTCAATCAAACCTGAAATTTAATGTTCGGGTCAATTTTTTTTTTTATTAATCTCATTATTACACTTGACTTAACCTTATCGAATTTTTATTATTATTATTATTATCATTATTATTAAACATTTTAAATCATTTATTGATGCGTATCAGAAAAAGGTCGCATTGAAATTCTGGTCGTCGTTTCCGTCGTTTTGAATAATGTACATATATATACATATATATATAATAAATGTTATCATTTTCCGAACTTTCCGGCAGACATGTTCGACAACAGAAAAAAAAAAAAAATTTTTTTATATATATTTATACGTTTACATAAAAACTATGTGAACGACAGCGTGAAAAAAAAATTTAAAAAAAGATAATAATAATAATTTTACAAAAAAACGAAAATTTTTTTATACAAAAAAAAAAAAAAAAAATTAACTGGTTTAAAATGCTTTTAAAAAAAAAGATAAAGAGAGAGAGAGAACGGGGGAGGGAAGGATAGAGACAGAGAGAAAGAGAGAGAGAAGAGGAAAAGGCCCTGAAAAAAAAATATATATAAAAAATTGAAAACGTAACACGGTGAATGAACAAAAAAATATTTTTTTTTAAATAAAAAATTTATAAAATTTTTCAATGTCATGTCTTTTTGTTTTTTAATATTTTTTTTTCTAACGACGTAAAATAAATATTATTTATACATAATTTTTTTTATTTTTACCTTAAAATTATTAAACAATTTAATAATAATAGTAATAATAATAATAATAATAATAATATTTCAAAAAGATTTCAAAATGAATTTATATTATTAAAAAAATTAAATTGTTATCATAATATACTGTTCGAAGATTTTTTTTTAATTAAATAAAATAATAATAATTACGGTAATCGTTTATTATTATTATTAATAATAATAATAATAATAATATTCCATTGGATAAACATTAAATCAAATCACGAATCAAAAAAAAATAAAACGAACGAATTCAAAAAAAAAAAAAAAAAAATTTATTCAAATAAACATTTACCGAAAAAATCTAGATTTATTATTATTATTATTATCATTTTTACCTTTTTTTATTTTTTTTTATTATACGGAATGAAAATTTCGGTTCGGAAAATAAAAAAAAACGTGGCACGAATACAAATACAAAAAAAAAAAATAAATAAATAAAAAGGTTATGAAATATTTATAAATAAATTATAAAGTTCATGATTTTTATTAAAATATTTTTTCAAAACGTTGTTTAATAAAAAAAAAATTTTATTTATTTATTTATTTAATAATTTATTTATTAATAAAAAATTCCTTTTATTTTTTTTTATTTTTTAAATAAAATTAAAATTTTTATAAATAAAAAAAAAAAATTTTTTTCTAGTCAACAACAAATTTGTTTAAATACGTACGCAGAAAAAAAAACATTATTAATTAAATTTTAATATTTCTTACGTAAACGGAAAAATAAAAATCATAGAGTAATTAAACAACGAAAAAATAAAAATCATAGAGTAAATAAACAACGGAAAAATAAACATTAAATATTTTGAGTTTTTTTGTTTGCCGTTAAATTTCAATAACGAATAAAAAAAATTTTTTTTTAAATGTATCCAAATTCATTTTCCATGTTTTTTTATTTTTATTTTCCAGCTACTTTCCTGGAAAATGATAAAAATGGAGGAGGAAAATGAAATAAAAATAAAAATTTATTTTAATGATTATTATCAACGTTTTAAAAAAATATAAAATAAATAATCATTCTACCAGAAACAAATTTTTTTATATATATACATATTATGTGTTTAAGTTACTTTTTTTTTTGTTCGTTTGAATAATCAAATTTATTATTATTGTTATTATTATTATTGTTATTATCATTTTCTAAATTTTTTTTTACACTTCGGTTATTTTTTATTTATTTTTTTGTCGTGGAAGCAGTGAAGAAATGCAAGAGAAAAAACGAAAAAAAAACAAAAAAAACTTTTCAAATCTTATTATTAAAACGAAAATAAAAATTTAAATTTTTTTCCCAACCTTTATTGCAACGTTGCCAAATGATGCATACAAATAAATGTTGATTTTCTTACTTTTTTCAGGGCCCCCACTTTTTTTTTATTCATGAAGTCATTTAATTTCTATTTTTACCCGGTTTTTCTTTCATTGTTGCAAAAAAAATAACAAAAGAAAACCGAAAATAAATAATTAATAATAATAATAATAATAATAATAATAATAATAATAATAATAATAATATATATAAATTGAAATAAATAAATTTTAATTGTCAAAAACATATGAAAATAAATAAAATGATTAAATTTATTGAAATTTAGTCGACTGATTTTTATAATAATTTTAATCACGTCGAAATCATTTTATAAATACACACTTGAAAAGGTTAACTTTATTATTATTATTATTATCAATTAATTAATAATTTTAACGTTAATGATAATAATAATAATTATAGCATCGAAATACTTAAAGCTCTTCTCAAACAAAATAATCTTTTTTAATATCAAACCTCGGAAAATTTTTTTTAGGAAATAAGGTCAAATCATTAAAATATAATTTTAAAATTTCAAAAATCTGATTTAATTAAATTTAAGCGACAGAGAGGACAAAGAGAGAGAGAAAGAAAGAGAGAGAGAGAGAGAGATAAAGAGAGAGAGAGAGTTACAAACGAACTTACATTCTTTGTAAAACACGTAGAAAAAATGCGAGACACGAAAATTAAATGAGAGAAAGAGAGAGAAATACACACGCACCTACATTCATTGGAAAACACGTAGAAAAACGAAAAAGACGAAAATTAAAAGAGAGAGAGAAAGAGAGAGAAAGTGTGTGCGTTATGAAAAGCGCAAAAAAGGCACTCGAAAATTTAATAACCTAAAAAAAAAAAATTCGCGTAAAATATTTTTTTTTTAACGTTTTCCTCGGTAAACATTAAAACGACGATGACAATGACGACGACGACGACGACGATAAATAAAATAGATAATAATGATAATAAAATTGATGGAAAATATATTACAAAAAAAAAAAAAAAGAAAATTTTTTTTTCAATAATAATAGTAACGTTTATGGTAATAAAGTCAAGTTTAATTTAAATCATAATCCATTAAAATGAATAACAATATCGATGATGACGATGTCAATGACGATAATAACAATAATAATGATAATAACCAATGGTAGGCTTTTATTTAATATTTGAAAATCCATTAAAAGTGTAATAAATTACAATTTGAATGTTAAAATGAAAAAAAAAAAAAAAAGAAATTTATTCTGGGAGCTTTTCCCCCCCCCCCCCATTATTGGTTAAAAAAAAAAAATTAAATATGTCGGCCTTACTTATTAATATTTTTTATGTGAAATTTTTATTAAAATTTTTTATTCACGTAAATATCACTTTATTCGTTTATACCGTTAAAAAAAAACCCGAAATAAAATTTTAAACATTTTTTTTTAAATTAGGTAAATTTAAATTTCGTAAGTTGGCAACAATACAAAAAAAAAAAAATTTTTTTTTTTAATCGCGATTCCCGTTTGTTTGATTACCATCAAGAGAATTTGATTTGAATAATAAATTTACAGGTTAATTTATGTTGGTGAACCTGATCGTTTTAATCAATAATACCAACATAAATCTTCAAAAGCAGTAGATAATAAAAAAAAAAAAAATCACGTTTAAAATTTTTTTTTATTATTTCCCCCTCATTGTTATCAACTTGTACGGTCTGATAACGCATTATTCAAATATTCCGTT